CACCGCTTAACACACACCACTCATCACACACCACTCATCTGACACCACTCATCTTACACCACTCATCTTACACCACTCATCACACACCACTCATCACACACTAATCATCACACACCACTCATCTTACACCATTCATCACACACCACTCATCACACACCACTCATCTTACAAAACTCATCACACACCACTCATCAAACACCACTCATCACACACCACTTATCACACACCACTTATCTTACACCCCTCATCACCGCTGGTCGCCGCTGGTCGGCTGCGGCGCTGTCTTAGTGTAAAATGCAATAGATCTCGCTCCGTTAGAGGCTCTGGCGGTTGCGTTGTCGGCTGTGGTCGCCGCTGGTCGGCTGCGGCGCGTCTTATTGTAAATTGCAGTAGATCTCGTACATCCGCCGTGCGCATTACTCTCCCACACCTCTCTCCCACCCCTCTGTTGTGTAATTCTGATATAGTTCCTGACAAGGCCATGTTGTAGAAGCTATTGAGACTCTGACTGCTTTGTGCTTTAGAAACTTGAGATTCGTAAAGATTCATATGTGGGGTTATCCGGTCCTTTAATTCCTCTTGTCTACCTGAGTCTACCTTCTTGTCTCCCTTCTTGTTGGTCATTGTGTCCGTCTTGTCTCCCTTCTGTTTCCTTTTGTCTCCTGGCAAGAAACTCCAAGCAGTGTGTGTGAGGTCTGTAAGCAGAAAGTCTAGAGATCTGGAGAGTGGAGAGAGTGAGGTGCGCCTGCCACGAAATCTGCGCTGCGAGGTTCACCAAGCGCTGTGCCTGCCACAAAATCTGCACTTCGAGGTTCACCATGCGCTGTGCCTGCCACGAAATCTGCACTTCGAGGTTCACAAAGTGCTGTGCCTGCCACAATCTGCGCATCGAGGTTCACCAAGTGCTGTGCCTGCCACGAAATCTGCGCTTGGAGGCCCACAAAGTGCTGCGCCTGCCACGACATCTGCACCACGAAATCTGCGCTTTGCGCCTGCCACGAAATCTGTACTTCGAGGTTCACCAAGTGCTGCACCTGCCACGAAATCTGCACATCGACGGTCACAGAGCGCTGTGCTTGCCGCGAAATCTGCACTTCAAGGTTCACCAAGCGCTGCGCCTGCCACGAAATCTGCACTTCGAGGTTCACCAAGTGCTGCACCTGCCACGAAATCTACACTTCGAGGTTCACCAAGCGCTGCGCCTGCCACGAAATCTGCACTTCGAGGTTTACCGATATGCCCTGTGCTTGCCACGAAATCTGTACTTCGAGGTTCACCAAGTGCTGTGCCTGCCACGAAATCAGCAAAGGAGCCACATGTCCAAAAGTCACGATTCACTGCACCTGTCACGAAATCTGAGCTCCTCGACGATCACCACCATGTCCAAAGTGCTGCATGCAGCTGCATGCACCTGCCACGAAAATTGCATTTCGTTTTCACGAAAAGTCGACTTTGGATCACCAAAGCACGAGGTTTCCCTTGCGCCTGCCACGAAAGTCATCACCATGTGCGAAAATGCGCACGGCGCCACAACGGGAGCGGAGTCGTTAGAAGCACCCGCCGCAGACAGCCAGATCCTGCGAGCCTGCGCAGTCGAAGTGCACATTGACGATATCGAGAACCATGAATGCACTGTAAATAGCAGCGAATTAGCCGGTCTCTAAGCATCAGCTGCCTTTCCCTCACCGTAAGAACCCCTCAGTGTGCCCGCACTGTTTGGGGAAAAACGGACTTGGGAATGCTTCTTTGTTGTCCCACCTGTTTGGGGTCTACGGTGGTGTGTTTGTTTGACATAGAAACTTATTTTGATCCTTTAGTCTTCTTTTGGGGCGGGGTTGGGGGTAGGCCGTGAGGTAAAGTCAGCAAGGAAGCTGGCGACGCAGGAGGGTTCAGGCTTAAGGCTCTCCACACCTGAAGGTGCGGGGGAGCCTCCTGATTGATTCGGTTCTTAGATTTTCTTTGTGAAACTTATACGAATGAGTTTTGAGTTTTGGGGCGGCGGTTCGGCTGTCACAAGGCAGCGGTACTTCAAACAACGTGAGATGTAGCGCATTGAACGCCGAAGAACCCTCACTGTAAGACATGGTCCCTAGATTGAGCAGCCCCCTCCCAGCCGCAGAAAACACCATTGGCTGGTTTTAGAGGGGTTGTTAATTTCTGCGGCCTGGGATCACATTGGGCAAGAGGTTCTTAATTGCAAGTGGGGATTGGCAGACAAACATGACAGACTGATGCATTGTCGTTTGTTCCTGTGATTCTGTGACGCAGGCGATGCAGAGCCTTGCCGTGAGTTTGCGTGTTTCCAGTAACATGCAACGCCACACTTATCACTTGAGGCTGTTCTGTCGCTGTATTGCTTCGCGCACAGTGTACACAAAGACACAAAGTGGCTGCAGATTCATTGCAGATGTTGATGCTCGTCGTGGGCTAACAGTCTTCCTTCCTCCAAAAGCAATTCACCCAGCTCACAGCAAATGAACACTCAGCAGGCGCCCACGTAGGGCTGAAGGTCATTCGCTGCTTCAGATTCACAACACCCAGAGTAACCGAGATCTTAAGGTGCCCGGTGTGAGTGGTACTAGTTTGTTTTGATGCAGCAGAGCAAGATCGAACAACGCGTTCAGGTCACGGCGCCGATTAGAAAGTTGTACTGGATGCACTATTCAATCATCTAGAAAGCTTATTGAACTGCTCTATTCTCATTCTTTTTCATAGCAGTATTTTTCTTTAGACCGTTTGTATTATTCGGTGTTTTTCTTTTCCTTCAACATCTAGGAATCATGTTTCCCGAATGCTTAGCGAAGGCTTCCCGTTCATTCTCTGGAGGTCCATGGGGGTTTGGACCTGTGTTCGCCTCGCGTTCGTGTCCCCGGTGTGGTCGCGTCGGGACTCCGCAAAGCGGAAACTCCTGTGGTTGGGGAGAGCTTTTGGAAGAAGTCTTCGATGGATGGAGAAGTGCCCGATTCGCGCGAACTAGCGTGCAAACGTGATGTCTCAAGTGTGAAGTGGTTAGCAAAGCTGGTGGCTGTGCCATTAGGATTTGCATTCGCAGGGCGGTGTTTTGGAGGTGATGAGGTGTTGGAGCCTCCATTGGGATTTTCCTTTCAGGCTCTTGCCTAGAATCTAGAAGCTTTGTTTTCTTGACAGGTCTCAGCATGTCTCAGCTAAAATTGTGATTTTGGTGGAGGTGAATGTGCGCAGAAAGCCCCGAAATCATTCCAAACGTGTGGCATGGTGCAAATTTTGCTGAGGGGATGAGCCAGATGTCAAGTCGTCACTTTTCGTTGCAGGCACAGTGCTCTCCGTGTGTTGGAGATGTGGAATATGAATTTCGTGGCAGACGCAGGAAATCGTGAGGTTGTGACGACTCTTGGAGGAAGTCTCGTGCGCAAAGCTTGTTTTGGAGGAGGAAGGCTCGTATGAAACGTTCGCGTTGGAAACTGGACGCGTGACTTTTGGAGGAAGTAAGTCTCGTACGGAATGCTCCTCGTCTGAGCTCCGGGGTTGGGACTGGCAACTTTCTAGTCCATCATTAAATGTAGTACTGGAAGTAGCTCCGGGCTTAGGGCTCTGCAGTGCAGGTTTGGTGAGGGCTTGGAGATCCGGGGTTTAAAGTGGCATTAGCTGCGGCAAAATTACGTCGGTGATGTCGCTATGCCACGCGGTCGGATTTGGTGGAAAGATGTGGAAAGTGCCTTTGCGTGGCCCCGTGCCATTGGGGGAATGGAAACATGGTGGGCGGGATTCGGGCTGTTTGGTGGCGTCAGGCATTGTTGCATCTAGTCTGCGTCGATCGGTGCGGAGAAATAACGTCCGTGATGTCGCTGTGCCTGTGCCATGCGGTTTGGCACGGTTTCGGTGGAAAGCGCGTTCGCGTGCATTGGAAACAGGAAACACGCGCGTGCAGACTGTACAGACGCGGCGCGTTGCTGGTGAGCTGGATGGTTGGTGGCGTCGTGTCAGCAGATGGTCACATCCAGTCTGTGGCAAAAGTGCAGCAAAATTGCGTCTTTGATTGGCGCGGGGTTGGTGGAATATCGTGGCGTGTCGCATGGTGAGTGGGATGATTGGTGGTGCCACTGCAGGGTGTAATGTGTAGCACGGGGTGCTGCGAAATTGCTTCGGTCAATCATGTGCCATGTAGTGTGGCCATTGGGGAACGAGAAACGCGGGAAAGTATTGTCCGTGATGTATATAGGAGTGCGGAAGTGATTGGCATATGTCGTTGCTTGTTGTATCCTGGGAGGGAATTGTGTGAATTGTGCATACGGCGCCGTTTTCTGTGATGGCTGCTCGCAGCAGGCGTGTGTTGAAAGCGAGAGAACTGACTGTCGTGCATGCATTGCAAAAGGTGGACAAAAGATGGAAAACAAGTAGGATTGTAGAAGAGGAGGTGTGCTCGCAAGTTCTTTTCACATGTCCGTTCTCAACAGGTTCGATTCACATGTGACTCTCGTTCGGGTGCGTGGGTTCTATCAGGCTTTATCCGGCAGGGAAACTTTCCTCCGTCCAGGGAAACACCTGATACACTGAGTTTCAAGGATCATATGCATTCTCCAAGGGTTCCCGTGCTCTTCAGGACTTCTTGTTGGAGAATGTCCTGGGAAGTTCATTGGTGTTTTACACCAGCAAAGCACGAGACTTGTCCAAGAAACCAAATTTTACACGGTTTGCATATGTTTGCATACTGCAAAGACGCCTCGGCAATTTGGTCGAATCGTTTTATATAAACACAAAATTAAATAGTTCGACTTCATACAACAACCAAACCCTGCAAGATCAGGATAGTCAAGTCTCCTATCTCGTGTTTTGTGCAATGTTTTTAAGACTATGACCATCCGCGTCTCAAAAAACGCATTTCACACATTTTCACACACTATGTTTGCGGTTCAGAATCTACTTGCATAAACCCTGGCTCATCGGGACCTGGGGGGGCTGAGGGGGGGGGCTGTGGTGCTTAGGGTTTGTTTTTCGATTGGGTTTTGATAGACGTGTGGATCCTTATTAAGCTGCTAATAAGCATCTATTAAGCCTCCAATGGTTTTTTGCACCACAAGGTTAAGGATCTATACAATAGGGTCTTAGCCAAAAGGCCTTAATAGAGGCTTATCAGCCTTGGATTGACTCAGCATAGGCTATCCGGATAGCGGCTATCCAAATCAGACCACCATCCCAATCAATGTTTTCCATCCCTGGGCTTCGCTTGATTTGGCAGCCGTTCCTTTTGCAGCCCGCGGTTCCAAAAAGCTGACGACTGTTCTTGACAACCGATTGAGGGCTTCAGAGCTTCATCATTTACAGTACAGAAACATATAAGGCCAGAATTTACCTGCAACATGTTAAAAGCTAGTCTTTTGTGGGGTTCAATTTGAGGGTTCCTTTGGTGGCATTTCTGGCACTACCAGAGGCTTTTGAATGAGCTATTAGGGCTTATTATCCTTGCAGATTCCCCCTTATCCAGGGTCCCCAAAAGTATCCAAAAGTCATCAATTTTGGCGCCTTCCCAAACTGATCAATGATTCATTGGCTGGTAGACTCCTTGCAGCCAATGCTAACTGGAAAACCTGAATTCCATTCCTCTTTCCTTCCATCAAACAACGCCATGAGTAACAACATTTGCTGACGCAGCGCGCTGGCACTCCGATGGTCTGTGTGGGAGAGCGTGGGGGTAGCTGATCTGATAGTTATCTGATAGGTTAGTCAGGCTTAGTCACCCTCTAAAAAGGCCTGAGTCATAAGGTCTATAGCCTAAGCCGTCCTGGTGACTTGGGGAGGGAGGTTGGGTGGTTCTGCGTTGACGTATGTTGTGATGATGACGAAGACAATCGGTTGCCATTGTCGCTGGACAACAAACCCACAAAACATTAATGTTTTCTGAAGGAGCTGTAGTTTCACGTCATCTCCGAGTCACAGGGAGTTTCACCTGCTTCAAATCTAGTGGAGACACCATTGTAAGCATTTTTGTTTTTCAAACCGCCGGACCAATTAGACACATTTGATCACATTTGCACAGATACACTCTTTTCAAAATTGATTCGTAAGATCTGGCTCAGGAGCCCTTTCAGTTCACAATTGTTTGCCTTTAATTGTGAGGGCCGGTGACTGGAATGTGGCAGATGAGGTCCACAGAGTCAAGTGGGATGCATTGAACGTGTTTGAACCAAACGAGCGGGCGGACGAGGCATCCTGGCAATCTCTGGCTCAGAGGCGCGAACAAGGCGCCGTTTTGCAGCACCAGCAGGGCGGCAAATCACTGGGATGCAGTTCGATGGGCACCAGCTGGTTGGAGTTTTCCTCGAGTTCTTGGACTGGACAGTACACGAAGCAAAAACGATTTTTTTCTGAAATGCGTTCATGTTGGTCTCTTCGGATCGTTCTGGGACTGAGGAAAGTGGGCCAAGAAGGCTCTGTGGAATGTATTTCAGGTCGTGTGGGCTCGGCAGTGGACAGCTGTGTCATCAAGCTGCGGGATGGCACAACGTATTCCTACGGAACCTTTGGCGTGCAAATAGCGGTATTCTGGTCTAGGCTTTTCAAGGGTCCAGGGTGCTGCCAGATTGTGGTACTGGCGGCACTTCTAGCCGGGTCTTTGGAAATGGATATCCACGAATCTAGCAAAGTGTTTGAGGTCAGAAAGAACCACTAGAGTCACTATAGTCTAGAGGCTGCAAACACGCTCGAAGTTGGGAGATGAGTTCTGTGTATGGACATGTGAGAGCCTACAGAGTTCGTTTCATTTGGTTGTTGGGGCGTGACATGTTATTCAAACACAAATGAGTTGACATGTGATAATGTCAGGACACAGGACGATATCCGTATTGTCGCGCGTTTCTCTCTCCCTCTCTCCATGTCTTAATTCCTGCTGTCGCGTTTTAACTGATCCAAGCACCGCTCTTGATGCCCTATGTTTTGTCTCCACATTCTCCATGTAACCGACATATTCAGGAGAACCGGGAGGCGACATGATCAGAGGACCTTGGCAAATCGAGCCAGACGAGTGGATCATCGTGGTCGAGCACCTGAGCAAATGCAGCAAACATGGAAACATGGCAAACCTTCTTTGTCTAATGTGTCGTTCTCATTTTTGTGAATTGTGTTATTGTTCTATATTGTTCTACTGTAATCTACTGTATATTTTTCTGGTAATTAATTATATATTATATAATTCGTTTCTTTCTTGCTTAAAAGAACAGACCTTTACCCGTTCCTTCATGTTCTTTCTTCCCTGTTTTTGATCTGAACTTCATTTGCCTTTGCTGTTGAGGCAGTTCTTCCGAGATCGTAAGCTGGGTGCCTCCTTAGCCTTCTACACCTCCAATGGACGTGTCTTCAAGCTTTCAGGCAACCCACTTGCTGTCGTGTTGGCTCGTCAAACATTCTAGCATCACTCTAGCAGACAGATTGAAACAATTGACAGGAAACATATGGAAAAATTGTTTTCCAGAGACCCTGCGCACCAAGTTTGGATTGTGTGAGTGCCTTGAATATTCTCAAATTTGTTGAGCCGCTGGGCTATTGAGATACAGATTTTGGCAATGCTGTTAGGGTTTATTGAATCGAAGCCAGCCTTGCCACCTTGCTTCAAAGCCTCAAAGGCATGACTGCAGTAAAGTCTCCGCGCTTTGCAGCGCCAGCTGGGCAACAGATCTGCGATCTGCGCTTTGAGGGCAATCGATTAGTAGAGGTTGTGACTTGCCCCAGTGACCTGGCCAAACGACTCAAAGGAGTCGAGCACGGCTCAAAGCCGCGCATGGCCAACACAGTCCTTGCTTAGATTTGAGACAGCCTTTGTGATGGCACTGGCTGTCGCCGATCCACGTATCCGCGTGCGGGATCGAGACCCAAATGACCTCAAAGGGGACCTGTCCATGGACACATGACGACTCACTGCACAGAAACTGACTTTCAATTTGACGACCTCATCATGCTTGTTTGGTATCATTTGCCTGAAGCTCTTTCAGGAGCTGCAACTGCTTCGAAGCCTGGATGTGAGCAACTGCCTCCTTGAGACTGAGAAGCCACTGGAGGCGAGGATGTTCAGAACTATAACCAGGTGGGGTGCTGCCACTTTTTGTAGATCTTCTGAGACTCTGACGAGAGTCTATTTATTGGTACGTCACTGGGCCCAATTTTGTACCAGTCTGTCAGGTGCCCTTCACTAGGACAACCCAGTGTCACAGCTCAACAAGCCACAGGTGTTGCGCCAGCTGCCCATCCTTAGAAAGCTTAAGGCACGGGCACCACAGTTGCTGAACAGCTCCATTGCCACCTGTGCAGACCTATGTTTCAGTAATTATATAATCATTGTTGTCGCTCCGCGACGATTCCGCCCGCAAGGCCTGCTGCATTTAGAAATGTGCGGGTGACCTCTCTAAAGAAAATGATTGCTTGCAATGTTTAAAGGCTTATGCCTGACAGCCGGGCGCCGGCCGGGGCAGGGCCTATGTTGGACCATCTTTGGGCTTTGTGGGGCGGTGTGGGGGCGATGTTGGGCCCATTTTGGGTTTGTGTTGGGCCATCTAAGGCCTATGTTGGCCCAGCAAGGGCCTTATGTTGGGCCATTTGGGCCCATGTTGGGCCTATCTTGGGCCTATGTGAGCTTATCTTTGGCCTATCTTGTACCCATGTTGAGCCTGTCCGGGGCCTATGTTGCCCCATCCTGGGGCTATGTTGGCCCATCCTGCAATTATGTTGGGCCTTTCAGGGCCGATGTTGTTGGATTGGACATGGAAGATCATGAGGCGCAGAAAACGCTGTAAAGCACAGGGTTCCTCACAGGTCTGCGGTTGGAGCGCCGCAGGTCGGCGGTGGGGCGGTCAGCACTCCGGCCCCGGCCCCAGGGCCAGCCCGTGTGTCGCCCGGAGGGCCTTCGGTGTAACCGAAGGTTAAGGACTGACGCCCCCTGCCGCCGACCACCCCCGGTTCACCCCCGACCCACCTCCGACCCACGTGTTTTACAGTGTTTCGTGTGTGTGTGTGTGCGGTCTAAAAAACTATGTGTTTTACAGTGTTTTGTGCGCGTGGAAAATGCCACGCGGCGAAGATGGAGAAGCGCAAAAGCACATAAAAGCACTATGTTTTTCAAGGGTGGTGTCGGTAATGCGCGCCGCGTGGACAGGCATAATCGGCATTTTGTGGGTGCTGGGCGCACGCCAACATCAATGGCGGAAATTGTGCTCCAAGATGACCTGACAGCGGCCCTCCAGATGACCCAACATAGGTCCCAGATATGGCACACATAGCCGCAAGATGACCCTACATGGGTCCCAGATATGGGAAACATAGCCCCAAGATGGGCCAAGATAGCCTCAAGAACTAGAACGAGAGGAAAAAGAAAGATAGAGAGAGAGAGAGACAGACAGACAGACAGACAGGGAGAGAGAGAGAGAGAGAGAGAGAGAGAAGGAGAGAGAGAGAGAGAGAGAGAGAAGGAGAGAGAAGGAGAGAGAAGGAGAGAGAGAGAGAGAGAGAAGGAGAGAAAGGCATGGAGGGACAGAGACATAGAACGGGAGAGAGCAAAAGAGGCCCTAAGAAAGCCAACGAGAAAGAGAAAAAGAGAGAGAGAGAGAGAGTAGGACGGTGGAGGGGATAAAGGCAAAAAAACATGAGGCGACCGGGGCCGGGACGTCGGGCATCCCGGCAACATCCTTCAATGTGGAAGGTGGCTGAGCGCGCGGGTGTCAGGCGTAAGCCTTTAAATATAACCTTCGGTTGCACCGAAGGCCCTCCGGGCGACACACGGGCTGGCCCTGGGGCCGGCGCCCGGATTTTAGTTCCTTTTTTGCGGAGGTGGGGACCGCTGAATCTAAAGTAATGTAGGTATTAGGTGGTGAAACATATTCAATCTTGCAAAGGTATTAAATTGCAAACATTAATTTAATCTTAAAAATAGTTTCAATGGCCTGGCTAAATTGTCGCATCATCGACATCACGAAGACACACAAATTGTCAGTGTTCAATGCTGTTTGGCCTGCCAACTGCCACATTGGGTCTCTCTCATAAACTCGTGACTAGCTTATCGGCTGGTTTTCGTGATTATTTTGATGGTGGACCCCACCGCGCACAATACTTGTCTCGTGGGAAGCATCTTCCAACCTCAGAAGTTGCTTCGTGGGAGGCCCCCCTGGCCACTTATTTTAAACGAATAGAAACGATTTAGTTTCTTTTGAGTAGATTGATTGATGGATTCCTACCTGGGGTGGGTGGATGGATGAATGAAAGGGGAATGGCTATGTAGGTGGAGAGATGAACGGATAGATTGATAGAAGGTGGGAGAGTGGCAGGAGTAGACGCGGATGTTGGGGAGATAGGTGGAAAAAGAAATGCTTGAGGAAAAAGAGAAACCACTCTACGGCGTCCCTTTTTTTCGTTTGTTGGAAGGGCTGATGATTGAAAAAAGGGTGCCTCTTAAGCTTTAACTTTTTAGGGACTCTGCGCCGCTTGCAGGTGGGTGGATGGATAGCTAGCTGGATGGATGGGTGGGTAGATGGATGGATGGATGGATGAGAGGGAGAGAGAAAGAGCAAAAAAACAAGGATAAGTTGCAGAGATAGAGAGATGACGTAGATGTGGATAGATGTGCATGCGTAGAGCTGGAGAGAGATTGCGCGACAGAGAGATATAATATATAAGTTGAGGAGATGGGGTAGTTGAAAGTTTCGTTATGATATGATGATTATGGATGCCCCCCGCCCCATCATACATTTCGCTGAAAGAGTATGCTTCCTCAGGACGGTTTTCCCTCACTTGCTTTCATACACTATCAGGAAAGTCAGTGTCCATAATTGTTCATGCTTGTTTAAAGAATTGTTCGAGCCCCATGGCTTCATACAATTTGCACTGGGGCTAATTACTGGAGTTTCCTGAGATGGGCAGTGGCATTGCAGACCCCCCCAAGCACCAGAAACTTGGCCAATAACATTTTTGCTTGAGCAACGTATCCTTCCTGAGGGCGGTTCCCAACCCCCTGCTCGCATATAATTCCTTGATAAAGAGTATGCTTCCTTCTTATTCTTCCATCTTTGGGGAGGGACAGTGATATACAGATATACAGGTTTGTTTTGTTCATCTCCAAGGTCCGGAACATGAAGGGGGTGAAGGGAAAGATACGGAAAGACCTTTTTCTCTTACTGGAATTGTATGCAGGACAAGGGGGCCCAGAGAGTGGTTGGGGCCAGACACAAAGAAACCAATGCATCTCAAAATCCAAAATCCTTCCTTGAGGAGCCCGCAGATAATGTTTGTAAATTTTGGTCGTGATTGCCGATTGCAGCACTCCATGATGGTGTGCGTACATTTGGCCTGGATTCTGGACCAGTTTCTGCCCCTTTGTTTCCTACATGTTGTTAGATTTTTTGTTGACCCTGCCCCCCCTGTTCATACAATGGCCGCAAATGCTCAGAACATGTAGATGTGCGTAGGTGAGTGCGTCCCCTCCGTGCATACATTCGGGTTTTGATCTCCCCCTGCCTTTCATGCACATCCCAAAGCCGGTGATTCCAGAAACACTGCAGGAACAAAGATAATGTGAAAGTACCCTAGGTACTGCGTGACACAAGAGCGAACATGTTTGTCCAGGAGGGTGGGAGGGTAGAGAATACTCAACCCCCTTTGAGCCTGAGGCTCGAAGACGAGAGTCAGCTCTGGTTTTACTTTTGGTGTAGCGCGCGAGCCGCCATGTTCTAATGGTTTTGTTAAATGTGTCGGTGGCCCAGGGCATTAACACCGTTCCGGACCTCTTGACGGGCCTGGGAGTACCGGATCCTCTGTGGGATGCGTTCGTGATGACGGCAGGGGATCCGGGGAACGATCTACGGTTGATAGCGGCTATGCCGGTTTGGACGATTCCTCAGATTGTCAGTTCCTCCACCATGGCTTCCGGCGAATGTTTGACTCCGATTCAGGCGGCTCAGGTGGGGTTGGTCTGGCGCAATGCAAGGTGGGTCATCCATTTGCAAGGAGGCGGAAACCCTGACACCTTTAGGATAGGGACCCATGGATGCCTGAGACACCTCCGGGACCTCCTGAAGGAGCAGGTGGTGGAGCGGCAGTGACCAGTGGGATAACCACTGGGAGCGGTGGAGTTGGGGGCACCAAGGACAATGTTTTGAAGATGGCCAAAATCGTGGACCAGACTGATGATTCAGAGACGAAGTTGCCTGATGCAGTCATGTTGAACGAATGGGCCCAAAGGTACATTGCAGTGATGGGTGCTCCCCCTCATGAAGAAGAAGAGCCAACAGATGCACAGTTAGCAGCGCTACATCATCGTGTACGTGTACAGAACCAGCCACCCTATGTGGACTTCTCCGTGTGGCTACCCTTCGGGAGGAGGGTCTTGAAGAATCAGAAGTTCAGGGCCTTTCTTCCGATAGGTGATGGATCGTTTGTGATGAAAGAATTGCCGGGCCCCCAGAACTTGCAGCAGTGGCTGGTCAGTTGGAGGGTGTTCAAAGTCGCATGCATTTCGTTGAACTTGGTTACATTGGCCGCCCTCCTCCTGTATGAGAAGGTCATTGAGAAGTTGGTTCTGCTCCAGTGGCCCAAAGCTTGGGGCCTGATTGCACAGGCCGATGACAAGGCGAGAGCTGAGAAGTTGGAGAAGATCAGGCGATCCATTGCTCTAGACATTGCACAGAAGCGGACCCGTGGACAGCGTGCTTTAGGGCTCTGGCTTTGGGCGAAAGATTTTGGAATGAGCAGGCGCGTCGCCCAGCGGCTGCTTGGTTAGCTAGTGGGGCACATGGCTCGCCGAAACCTCCCGCCGAGGCAATA